CTTTTTCAAATAAGGAGCATTTGTAAAGGTATACACCAAAATGCCACCAGTGTTTATCTCTGCATGTTAGAATCATGGGTGATTTTGATCTCATCTGTCCCCATTTGGACACCTTTAATTTCTCTCTCTTGTCTAATTGCTCTAGCAAGGACTTCCAGCACTATGTTGAATAGAAGTGGAGATAGTGGGCAACCTTGTCTGGTTCCGGTTCTAAGTGGGAATGATTTCAATTCTTCCTCATTCAGTATGATGTTGGCCATGGGTTTATGATAAATGGACTTCATAATTTTAAGTTATAACCTGTCTATGCCTATTTTGTTAAGAGTTTTTATCATAAAGGTGTGCTGGACTTTGTCAAATGCTTTTTCTACATCTATTGAGAGAATCATATGGTCTTTGTTCTTGATTTATGTGGTGAATTGCATTTATAGATTTCTGTAATGTTGAACCAGCCTTGCATCCCTGGAATAAAGCCCACCTGGTCATGGTGAATTATTTTTTTGATATGCTGCTGAATTTGATTTGCTAAAATTTTGTTGAGGAGTTTTGCATCTATATTCATGAGGGATATTGGTCTGTAGTTTTCTTTATTTGTTGTGTAGAAGATCTCCAAAGCAATCACAGCAGCAACAAAAATAAACAAATGGGATCTGATCAAATAAAAAAGCTGTTGCACAGCCAAGGAAACTATCATTAGAGCGAATAGACAGCCTACAGAATGGGAGAAAAGATTTGCTCTCTACACAGCTGATAAAGGGCTGATAAGAATCTATCCAGAACTTAAAAAAATCAACAAGAAAAAATAAAACAACCCCATCAAGAAATGGGCAAAGGAAATGTACAGAAACTTTTCAAAAGAAGACAGAATAATGGCCAGCAAACATATGAAAAAATGCTCAACATCTCTAATCATTAGAGAAATGCAAATCGAAACCACAATGACATACCACCTAACCCCAGTGAGATTGGTCTCTATCAAAAAATTCCCAAACAACAAATGCTGGGGAGGATATGGAGAGACAGGAACACTCTTACACTGCTGGTGGGACTGCAAATTAGTGCAACCTCTGTGGAAAAGAATTTGGAGATACCTCAAAGAGCTAAAAATAGAAATACCATTCGATCCAGCAATAGCACTATTGGGCATCTACCCCCAAAAAGCAAAAGACATTCTATAATAAAGACATCTGCACTCAAATGTTAACAGCAGCACAATTCACTATTGCAAGGATATGGAAACAACCCAAGTGCCCGTCAATTCATGAGTGGATTATTAAAATTTGATATATGTATACAATGGAATACTACTCAATAATAAGAAACAACAGTGATCTAGCACCTCTTATATTTTCCTGGATAGAGCTTGAGCCCATTATCCAAAGTGAGGTGACACAAGATCAGAAGAATAGGCTCCACTTGTACTCGCCATCAAATTGGCACTGACTGATCAACACTATGGTGCTCACATGGTAGTGATATTCTCCAGGGATTAGGGGGTTGGGGGGTAAACTTACAACTAATCAACGTGGTATGCATTGTAGAATGGAAGGGCATGCCTCTAAATCCTCACTTGGGTGAAGCAAAGACATAAAATGTAACCAAAATGTTTATTCCCTCATAATATCCTGAAATAAAAAAAAGAAGAACCATGGGTGATTTTATTTTTTCATATTGCTTCTCCATATCTCCTCTTTTTTTTTTTCTAAAATGAGCAATAATACCTAACAAATATCTAAAAGGCCATCTGTTCTATTGATGGTGCTTAGTTGAACTCTGTAAAGCTCTGGAATAAAAATAAAGACAAGTGGGAAGATTCTACGGAAAGACGTTTCATTTCAATGCAAGGACGAAAGCGCTGTGGGACATGAACCACCTTCTCGTGAGCCTGTAGCCTGCGATGTGAGTGGCGCCCCAGCACCTGGCTCAGTCCTCCTCAGCCATGGTATGATGGGGGTCTGGCTTACGCAGGCTAGGAGGGTGGGCCCAACTCCGTGCCACTTGATTTTGCAATGAATTTAACAGATGCCACCCTCTCATTTTAAAGGCTTATTTTATGTTTCAGAGCACGTTCACGTATGCTGATTTATATTAGTTTTAGTTCAGTGCTTTCTAAAAAATCCTGTCCCTACCACAGTCCTGTAGAATAAGCAGGGTGGGTATTATCACCTCCATTTTACTTAAGGGAAAACTGAGGCAAGCATAGGGTGGACTTTAATGTTACGGGATGAGACAGGAGTGACTTGTGAGATCGCACCTCCTCTCTCTTGACTCCCCGCCCCAACCTCTTTCCTCTAGCAGCACACAGCCTCTCCCTTCTCACCAGGGTGCGGAGGCGGGGTGGACCTGGGCTAAAGATGCTTGCGTGATGGGCGCCACTTGAATGAAAAGCCAACAATATGCGGCACAATGGTAAGTAGCACCAACAATGACAACACCCATTTGAGTATTCCCACTAACTTACATTGACCCAGTCAATGTAAAATAACCACTGTGTCAATTCAGCATAAAAGTTATGATTCATCAAACCAGTTGGTTGACTTGAACAGCCCAAGAGGCTGGTGAATCTAGTGGGGCACCTCAGCTAATACACTTGCCCTGTACCTGTGTCCTTCCCTACTCCCAGGGAAGGAGCCTGTAAGTTAGGTTTCTGGGACGGTAAATAGTGAATAGGGTCCATACTGGGCTTAATGAAGCAGGGCTTTGTTCCTTTTACCAAGGGAATTAACAGAGGAATTTTGTATTTATTCTGCAGTGGCAACAGATTAAGCACTTCAGCAATAATGTGGCAATTCACCAAAAGAGGTCTTAGTTAGGTGCTATCTGAAATCATGAAGTTAAGTGGGAAAACATACACATGGAAAAGTTTTATATGTTTTAAAAAAATAAATCCAAATTTTAGATAAATGATACTCTTCACAAAGCATATTAAACAAATGACATATTTTCATTGGCTGATAGTGCCATGTACACACATACATCATTTGCTGTGTGCCAAGCCCCTGCTGAGCACCTCTCCTCACATGCACCCCCATGCCAGTTGGTACAGGAGGAAACTGGGGGACAGCGAGGGGAAGGGCATTTCTCCTGCATCACACAGCCACCAGGTGGAAGCAACAGGACTCCAACCCAGGTCTGAGGACTCCCAAACCAGCACACTTCACCATTACTTGTTCTCTCGAAATGCTGCAAGTATTAACATATGCTCTTTTTATAAACAGGAAGCAATGAAAGTTTCCTTATGGTAGCATAATATTAATAAAGCACTTCAGGAGATGCAGTGTTAACTTGGGATCATTTGAAAAACAAGGAGAAAAACTAGGCTGCACTTGACACACAACAACACACAAGGAAGGCAGAAATGGGTAGAGAAGTGGAAAAGAATAAAGGCTGATGTACTCAATCTATCTACATTGTTAATATCTTGATACTGGTATTGGTTATTGTTAATAAATTATTGATCAAGGTGATAATGTTATAGACACTTGAAATACTCTTCTTCTTAGCTACATAAAATTCCATCTCCAGCATTCACTCATTCAACAAACCATTATTAAGCACCTACCATATGCCAGACACTGCTCTAGGCAACAAACAATTATTGAGTACCTAGCATGGGCCTGGCACTGCCCAAGGCAGTACGATTACTGCAGTGACTCAAAGAAACAAAAGTTCCAGACTTGAGGAAGTTTGCTTAAGCTCCTTGAGAAAATGAGGTAGCAGAAAGGGAGCCTGAGGCAGAGGACTTTGGTTTTAATCCTGGCCAGATGGCCTTAAGCATATTATTTGAATCTCTCTGAGTCTTAGTTCCCTCACCTCTAAACTGAGTATAATAATATCTGTTTTTATTATATCATCTTTTATTAGAAAAATGCTAGTTTATATGTGAAAAAAAAAAGCCTACTTATTATTTGGTCTTGGAGAAACTGAGGTAGGAATAAAATTTTTGTCCTCATTATTAACTCCTTCAAAATCCTTCATTCTACATTTTCCATGATCTAAGCTTTCTGGGTTAATGCTAACCATGTGTGAGACTTGCTGGGTCACAATAAGGTCACTTCCAGACCTAGCCACCAATTTCAAAGTCTGTGTTATAGGCTTAAGATACCATAATTACGTATGTTTCCCCTTATTGTGGCAGGAAGTCAGATTTAAATTATATCTTAGTGATTATTTCATTTTAAAATGTACACAGAGAGATGATAATACTTGACTAGTTATTTAGAAACAGACTCATTACAATTGATTATTATTGAAATCTTTCAGTAACTGTCTTTCCTACGTTTTCACTGTGAGCACTAAATCGGAGGTAGGTGTAAGGGAGTGTGTCACAGGACCACGGAACGACCACTTCCCAGCACTCCGTTGCATTTTACAATTAAAGCAAAGAAAGCAATTGGTTCCTATCTAACCAGCCCCCTTGACCCACACAGCCTCTCCAACCAGGATGTGCTGGGGGCGTGGGATTTCCAAACCTATTTTTATCAGCCCAGCAAATCGTAGTTCTGCTTTCTAAACAAAGTCATGCCAACCTTGAGACGCTATGAAAGCCAACACAAGCCAGACATTGTACACAAGTGAAAAGAATATAATTAGCAGAGTTATAGTCACAATTAGGAAATACCTCCTCAGAAAAGTTTCCACTTAACTCTGAGCAGTGCTCGAATTACCATTGTGCTTGAGGAGGCCTCTGTCTCTTGGCTGCCTCAGACCTTGCAACAGATCCACAAATACCAGTGCCACCCTCAAAACACAGATGCCCAGAATCTAATGCTGGGTATATACACACACGTTATTTTAATCGCAGATGTGAACAACAAAGTGAGACATCAAAGTTACAACTTAAAAAGTAAGAAACGCAATCTCGGAAATGACCAGTCAATGTGTTTGTTAGTTAAATTATTCCTTCTCCGAGCTCTTTCTTATCTTTTCTAACCCTTCCCCTTCCCACCCTAAAGAGAGGTTGGAAGAGAAAGATTACGGGAGCAAGACTGGGCACTCACTTCATCTCCAGGATCTCCTCCAGCTGCTTCCTCCTCTCCAAGCGGAGGTTGGCCAGGTGTGCCTCCTTTTCAGCCAGGGACTGCTGCGTGGAGGCAAGGCGTGCTTTGGTGGCATCCAGCTCCTGCCTGGTCTTCTCCAGGGCGTTCATCAGTTCTTCTATCTGAAAGGCACATGGAGTTGGAGTGTCATTCCCCCGTCATTCAAGCACAAGGAATTCCTCGCTAGGCTGTGTTCTGACAACAAACACTCGAGGAAATCCTAAGTATCCCTGAACTGGGCACAGTGTCTTGGAGCCCTTTCTTTCTTTGTCACTGGTTAAAAATACATGTTCCAAACACAAGAAATGCCCAAATTTCTCCAGAGTCCGTGTTCAATCAGATTGCCTAATAACCTTTACAGAAACTATTTAATGTATTTATTAGAAGTGGGGGTGTGTGTGAGTGGTTTGACTCAATTTCAACCTGTGTTTGGCAAAAAAATCTCAGATCCTCCCTCACAGTTGCAGGAAGGCACCTCTCCGAATGCACTTTGCTCAGCACAATATACACACGTTTGTGCGAGGCCCCTGAGTACTTTGACAGAAAGTTAACCTGCGTGTTTCAGATTCATTCATTCCTGTTTTAAGTTATCACAGCCTTGTTTGGTAAAAGCTATTCTATGTCCAAGAGCCCTCAGGAGCCCCTCTCACCTCACCTCCCTGACTTACATTCAGGAAACAAGGTTTGGCCAAAAGTAAACAGAATTCCAGCCACAAAAGGTTCAAGTTTGGTTTGCCCCTGAAGTTTGAGAGGGTTCTAAACTTGAAATAAATGACATGTAACTTTTATAGGGTGCTAATACACCATAGAAGTAAGCCAGACTATCAAATATCCACGGTTTTCAGCCAGGTCCCCAAATATTGGACCACGGAGCCCTGAGGCAAGGCCTTACCCTCCCCGAACCTCTGGGGACTTTTAAAAGCCAACACACAACAAAGAGGGCTGGTGTTTATGGTTACGTTCCAGAGACTTCCGTGGAGCAAGCTGGTAGAATGCCATCCCTCGCACAGACGCAGGCTGCAAGTCTACCCTGCTGATCCAAAATCATGGTTCCAGGAAGTTTCTAGATTCCAGAGCTGATGTTTGGCTTTTTAAACCACCCCTTCCAGCTGGATTTGGCAGAGTAGGCCCATCCATCACTAAAGCCAACAGAACGCCCTTCAAAATGTGTCAATGACATGTTAAATTCCAATTCATAAAGACTTTCTATGCAATTTCTTTAGTTTTACATGGAATTTATTCAGAATAAGCATTATAGTTCACATCCAAGGTAAATTACATGCTTTTAAGATTCAGAAAACCCTCTATCATTTTGCCCTGATAAAAAGAGGAAACTTAATGGCCATGTAATTTAAATCAAAGCCCGAACCAAAAACAGTTTAAAAAGCAAGAATATAAAGGAAAACGTACAGAAGGCACACAACCACACCTATTTAACTGTAGAATAGATAGCATTATTCTCTAACTTTACAAATATATAAAATTTAAAAAGCAATAAGAAGCTTTTTAGTTTCTCATACAAGTTCATAGAACATCACAAATATTAGAAGCTCTCCTATAAAGCAATACACGATAAAGCTAATGCAGTTTTTACTTTTCCTCCCCTTTTTCCTATTTTTGATATACTCAATAGCAGTGTCCAAAAATATCAGAATTATGGTCATTCAAAATGCCAATTCAAATAGTCTGGCTGAGCCTCCATATGAGGTGTCCTGTGTCCTCAGGAGCCCATGGCCTTTATTTCAAACATACTATTAACTCCGGGGGAAAGGAGGTCTCCAGGATTCCCATCTGCTGAAGCTGATCTGTCTGTAATCTATAGACACAGAGCTACTCAACTGGCCTTCCAAGGCCTTAGTTCACCTGCCACCAAACTGCCTGGGGCAGGCACCAGCTAGTTTTACATTAACCCAACATTACACTTAGAGCAGTGACTTGCAGGCAGCTCCAGGCATTCCAGCAATAACTGCATGGAGAAACCTGGGCATCGAGGAGATGTCACCCAGAGATTTAACTGGTGGAGATGCTATTGGCTTCCATCAATACCTCCAAGTATGAGATAAGACCACTATTCTCAATACCTTGAAATAGCTCCCCAGGCCAAAGCTTCCCCCGAACCCTAATTCGGGTACCCTGGGCAGTGAGTGTTACACACTGAGGACTGGGAAGCACTGGTCTTCGATACACTCTTCTGGTCTTAGCACAACGTGTTTCTCTCTAACTTTTACAAGCAGTCACTATGCTCTTGGAGTCTCAGTTTCCTTAAGGATGCCTCCTGGCCTTCCTGTATTTAATGTTTGATAGTTTTACAAGCGGTTTCTTTTGCTACCAAAACAGGAAACTTAAAAACCAAGAACTGTTTTCCCTGCTATGGTCATGAGGGTGCTTCACAATACTCCAGCTCTCCTCCTGATGGGACCCACTAGGACCACACTTGCCCTAAGCTGGGCATGGCTTTGCTGATCAAACCACTGTCCTTTCCAGGTAGAACCATTTATCAGGGGTCCTCAAACTTTTAAAACAGGGGGCCAGTTCACTGCCCCTCAGACCGCTGGAGGGCCGTTGGAGAGTGTGGCACACATTCCACACACGCGCACTGTGGGCCCAGGACGAGTCGGCTGCTAAATAGGACAGGCAGCGGAGGTAAAAACACACGGCGGGCTAGATAAATGTCCTTAGCGGGCTGTATGTGGCCCAGAGGCCGTAGTTTGAGGACCCCTGATTTAAGTGGTAGCATGCAACTCTAACCTTCCCCTTCCCCTGCCATAGTGATGGAAGAAGTAAGTATAAGCTGACACTTCTTTCAGCCTGAGTCCCTGAGTGACCACAATGACACCCAAGGCCAAGCACGACATGTAAGCAAGATATACACTTTTTTTTTTTTTTTTTTTTGAGACAGAGTCTCGCTTTGTTGCCCAGGCTAGAGTGAGTGCCATGGCGTCAGCCTAGCTCACAGCAACCTCAAACTCCTGAGCTCAGGCAATCCTTCTGCCTCAGCCTCCCAAGTGGCTGGGACTACAGGCATGCGCCACCATGCCCGGCTAATTTTTTCTATATATATTAGTTGTCCAATTAATTTCTTTGTATTTATAATAGAGACAGGGTCTCGCTCTTGCTCAGGCTGGTTTCGAACTCCTGACCTCCAGCAATCCACCCGCCTCAGCCTCCCAGAGAGCTAGGATTACAGGCGTGAGCCACCGCGCCCGGCAAGATATACACTTTTATCGTGCTGTACCACTGAGATTGGGGGCTGTCTATTACTCCCAGCATGACCTGGCCCATTTTGACCAGTGAACCGTCCAATTTCTTGCTCTACACCTCCTTCATCTCCCACCACCAGTCACTTCTCATCAAGAGGAGACAGCTTGTTATCCTTGCTATCCCATGGAATTTCTACTCCTGCAGGCCACTGGTACCTTTCTTCTTGCCAAATATCTTTTCTTAATGTGTAGCTTGCACAGCTAAACACTACCCCAAATCTATCTGCCTCTTCTTTGAAGTAACATTTTAACTGACTATGTAAATGTAGTTTGCATTTTAACAACCACCAGATTAGAATAAGGGCATCACTTACTAACTGTGTGACTGAGGCAAGTTCCTCCAACTCTCTCAGCTTTAGTTTCCTCATCTGTAAATAAGAGACCATGTTGCTTTCCTATTATTAATAGATATTTGCGGGCACAATAAGTGAGATAATGTAGCCCTGTTTTAACTGATATTCTTTTCTGATAAAAAGAATAAAGTATATTCATTGGACAGAATCTGAAACATGCTGATCTGAAAATTTTTAAATTTTCATCTTATGTAAGATTCAATAATATTAATTTTAGTTAAGACCCTTCCAAATCCCACCATCTAGAAATAAACATTATAAACATTTTGTTATCTCTATCTCTACATATGTGTATATATAATTGGGATGCTATATATGGATATACACATATAAATATATGATTCTGTAAACAATTAATGTATCATGAGCACTCCTCCTTTATAACTAGTCTTTTGGAAATACATTTCTGATGAGTGAGTGCTGCTTTATCCACTTCTCATTCATCTGTAACTGAGGCTTCCCTTAGTGCTATGGCCTGAATGTGTATCCCCTGGCCCCACCCCGGCCCTGCCAAATTCATATGTTGAAATCCTAACCCTAACCTTACAGTATCAGGAGGCGGGGCCTTGGGCCTCGCGATTAGGTTATAAGGGCAGAGCCCTTATGAATGGGATCAGTTCCTGTATAAAGGAAGCTTAAGGGAGGTTGTTTGCCCCTTCCACCAGATAAGGACACGGCAAGAAGTCAGCAATTTGCAACCCAGAAGAGGGCTCTTACCAGAATGTGACTGTGCTGACACCTTGATCTTAGATTTCCCATCCTCCAGAATGGTGAGAAATAAATTTCATTGTTTATAAGCCACCTAGTCTATAGGATTTTGTTATAGCAGCCCCAATGGACTAAGACACTTAGGAACCTATTTCCCTGTTTCTTTTGCAAATTCCTCATCTTTCTGCAGTCCATGACTGGGTCCTTTTCCTTGTGACTCTGTAGCAGAGACAGTTTCTTCACCCACATGGATATTGAGGAGATGGACTGAGGTATGTCTCCAGGGCTCTCACCTCTATGCAGACACCTCTCCACCCTTTATCTCCTTTTGCTCACTCAACCTCTTCTATATGTACCTAACCACCTGTTGATCACTTCCATCTGGATGTCCTATTATCACTTTAAGTTGAGGATGACCAAGAGCCAATTGTTGATCCATGTACCTGGCTAAACCAAATCCCTACCAGCCATCTCCACCCTCCCAACCTGCCAGTAACTAACACATCCACTGTTTGGGTCCAACACCCTGACCTTTTCTCAGTCACTCGTGTTTAAGACCTCAGAGATATTTGTTCCTTCTTCTTCCTCTTTTATTTTCCATTCACCACCAAATCCTATAGCTCTATTTTGGAAATACTTTTGGATCCATTGTTCCCTTTTATCATTACTTTTGACACACAAGCCTAGGTCCTTTCCTCTCCCACATGTATGATAGGTTTGAAAATAATTATATAATACACGCATACATATGTGTGTGTGCTTGCATGCATGTGCATATGGGCATGTGTGTATTTTAGCCTC